GCGCATCAGAATAACATAATGTCCTTGTTGGTTGCCAGTCATATGCTAGCTTGGCTGCATACTTGCTGGCTGGCTGCTTTGTTGTGTGGAGTTAATTCCTTTCGCAGAAGAATTCAAGGTGTCAAAGACAAGGGTTGTTCCTTGAGGGGATTCGAACCCGGAACTTCTGAAGCTTTCTGTAGAACATGAGCCATTGACACGAATGAAACTAATGCTCTAGGCATATTTGAGCACTCTTGTTGGCGTATAATACTTGGCGACAGACTAATTGATAAGATCACAAATGCCAGATCAGTTGCTTGAGGACGTTGGAACAAGTACAAATAGAGTACATGAAACAAGTTCTGGCATCAAATTTCCCTGTGATGAAATTTAAAAAAAAAATTCTCGCTCTTCAGCCATGCTTTATGACCGAAAGGCAAGCGGATGATCAGCATCATGATTCATAGTATGCTGAATCCATACAGGACAAGGCTGTGAGGCAAGTGGAAAACTTCATGTATATTATCAGACGAACTGGCTGATAGGGAGTTGGTCAGTGCTTATCGACAAACTGCTAGCCAAAGGCAGGCCCAAGTCAGGGATTGGCTTTGACTTGCAATAATATATGGCATTACAAGGATAGAATACAATTACGAATGGTGGCAAGATGCGAGAGGATATGGTAACCATCGCGACATCTTGTAAGTCAAATCATGTCACCTCCGGCCTTCAAAGTCGACCTCTTAACGACTGTTGCGCCACGCCACAAACGGGTTTCATGTCGCGGACTTGCGAATAATATGGACGGCACGATGCTCTGGTTTGGTCGTTCCTGCTCGCACCGGACGTACGATCATACTGTGTGATGTCTCGGCTTTACAGCTGCCATTTGCACTAACTCTCTTGATAGCTGACTATCCAGTGTAATAATCAGCACAAGACAGTTTAGACGGTAAGCATAAGATTTACCCGTAAATAAAATTCGTTGAAAAAAGATAAGAAAATTTAGAGAATTTCTAAAATCACACTTTGCCTCGATCCTCGCATTCAAGACATGGAAAATGTGTTTTGCTAATTCTTCGCTTTCTTTGCCCCTATCACTTTTTTTGTTGTAATTTGATGTATTTTTTTCAGCTGTTTATTAGCGAGTGTCAGTGCTCTAGCCTACACGATCTCTTTTTCTTTGCAGCTATCGAAGAACAGTCGGATTAATATCTTATTTTTATTTTTCTGAAGTTGTTTTACTCAGATTCTTGATCGCTTAGGGTCTTCAAGAAGATTGTGAGGCACGACCACCAATCTATAATCATCGAGCAAGTCGAGAAGCTGAGCGACATGACCAACGTTGAATCTTTTGTGTCGGTGTTTTTGTCGAATCTGTTCGAAAATGCGGTCGACGAAGCAACCGCCAAATCGTTTGATGCTTCTCGTTGTGAATTCCTAAAGGAATGTTTGCTGGAGTGGCGACTGGACCCTGACTTATCGGAAATGGTTTTCAAGATAATGCTACAGAAATTTGATTTGGCTGCTAATAATGAAGAGAGCAAAGCGGCTTTCCAGCACATCTTTCATTCAACCTTGTCCCGTCTGGCGAAAAGGTAAATGTGTACTTCACACGTCATCCTCATTCTATAAAATGTCTCTGCCACTATGGTCTGAGTATTTTTTGAAAAATATCAGTATTTACTCTTACTAATAATCGGAACTTTTCTTTACATTGTTGTTTGAATGATTCATGGTCCGGGGCACCAAATGCAGCAGATGGTAAACCGTTTAATGCCAAAGCGTTTCACTGCACAGATCGCAGCATCATCAGGGCTGGATTGAGTACAAATGACTGCTTGAACGCATTTATGTCCAACAAGCGAACAACGCCAATGTTTTAAACGGCTCATCATGTAAAGTCGAGACGCTGTCACACTGTCTGAATTTCCACATAAAAATCGATCGGATCTTTGTAATTTTGTCAATTCAAATTGATAATTAATATGGAACTGATACGCAAAACCGTTCAGAAAGGCAGTGCAGTGAAACGCGTTGGCATTAAACGGTGCACCTAATAACTACTCTAGAAACGACACTTTTCTCTGATTATATTCCAGGCAGGTTCCTCGAAGAAATTAGATGAATTATTGTTATATTTTTATGTTATTGGTACGCTGCTTTGCATTTTGTTTCAAGGGTGTTGTTTATGCAAGAATTAAAACAGGAGTGTTTTACGGAGTCACGAGTAAGAATATCAGATTCTGAACTCTGTAAGGTCATGGTAACTGCTTTCTCTTTGCAGCGCCTGCTCTCTATAGATAGACATTCTACACTTTTGACGTAGTGTTGTCCATTTTTATGATCGAACGTTGTTTACGGACAGATACGTGCGGTGGACTCCCAGACTTTTCTCGCAGAACCTCAGGTTCGCAGTCACACTATGCTACAGTGATATTCTTATGCAGCGAAGAATTTGACCTTTGTTGCAATGGTGAATGATGGCTAACTACTCCGAGACGCCATTTCTGCCGGACGTCACAAACCTCCACTAATCTGCCATTAGCTAAACTTTATGTGTTCGATGATGGCGACAATAGAAATGGGTGACTTTCATTTAGTCTAAGATATACCAGGGGATGTTTATTTGATAGAGAGAATTCTGTCCCCTGTAATCATCGTTGTAACTTACAGCCGAACCGACATTTTTGAGTACTCTTGACGACCGAATGTTCATATATACCCCAGTCTCCGATGAGCTTGCACACCTACGTACTTTGGTTTTTACCCACTTCTGTTAAGCGCGTCTGCTTCTCCATGGTGTAGTTTACTGTAAGACTCATTAAACATTTTTTTCAGTCTCAGAGAAGTCGTTAAGCATGTATCGTAATTCTTCCCACAATGCTTTTCTACCTCCTTCACCAGTGGTAAATCTTACGATGATCATCACCAAGTGCTACTTCAAATTCATAAGCTTAAAATGAATATCTTTTACCCAGCCTTTTTAAAGCCTTTACCGTTTTATTACGTTACTATTACAGATATCCCGTCACGTATGACATGCTGATTGTCAAATCAGCGAAGAAACACATTGTATCAGACGAAGTCCTTCAAGAATTTACTGCCATGTGCGGAGTTGCAGGCTTTCAGGTAAATCTTTGTGTGCTTATACTAACCCGTCACTCTTTATCATGATACCTCCTATACTAATCTGTGATATGCTAGAGTGTACATTATCCTCATCCGCTGTGCTAACCTGTAAGCCTATCACGAATCTCGAAAAAAAAACGGTGAGCCACGAGGTAGTTGGCAGGAATCATCTGTTGGAAGGCCTTATTCGTTTAATACAGACCTTTGTAGCAGAACACTGCGCTGAGCAAAAGGTCAGAGGCAACAACTGATAGGATAGTTCTTCGTTTTAATTGTCGAAAAGAGCCTGAGGAACGTGATACAGAATGTTTAGTTGGCACAGCGTGTAACTGTCGCCATGTAGCTTTCTTTTCTGCATTCCTGAGTTCGTGCAAAGACGACAACAAACTCGTCAAAAATGGATGGACTTAAATAGTCCCCCTGTATATTGTATTTCATTGTCGCAGATTTGATTTGGCGGGGGTTTCAAACTTTAGCTTATTCTTATATGCTGCCGCATGTAGCACCTATTGATCTGTCAACTGCAAATTAAGATGTAATTAAATATGAGTTTGTACGTTCTGTTTGTTCTTGTTTGTACATTCATGCTTGCATTATCAGTCTCATGTGTAGGAAGGCGGATCCCAAAGCGACTTGCTGTTGAGTCTTTGCCACCCTACAGGCAAAGTTCGGCATTTGGCTTTGAAGAAAATCTTTGGCCTTTTCCGAACCGGTTATTCACAGGTGCAGATTTTAAATGTATGCTGTCTTTGACATATTTGCACTAAGACATAGGATAAACTGCGGGAAGATTTTGGACCTGCTGTACTGGGTCGCTTCAAAGACATCGATACGCGGTGCTTGTGTCTCTTAATGGAAAACATTGATGTAAGTTGTCAGCCGACTGCCAGCTAATTTTAGCTTATTTTGACCATGAATTGTACATGGGATTTCAAGTTTGCAACATGTCATAATATTAATTAGTTGTAGCATCTTGTTACAGTGTCTAAGAGGTCAGCTTCGAAATCCAATAGTGCCGAGTTCGATTCCACTGGAGCGCAATCTCTATCATATTTAGAAATTAGCTTGAGCAAGAAATTTACCACACTTTGCTTCAAGCCGAGGTTGCTCAGTCAGTGGAGCATCGAACTCAAAACCGATAGGCCCAGAATTCAAGGTCAGGGATTAGGATCACTTGTCCTTCTTTCTTCTAAGGTTGATAAATGAGTTCCGCTCGTGGGAAGGAAACAGGAGACTATACGCTACGGATGCCACATAACTGTAGTGTCTGCCTTTAAAATAACGCGTTCCTGGCTGATGACATAGAAATGGAGATCAGCACCCGCCATCAACTGTATGAAAAGAAGGGCGCCGAAATGGCCCAATCATCAGAGTGAAGGAAGATCAGCATTCCTATGGTGACAGTCGTTCTTCTTTTTCGATTCTTTAGCTGGGAGGAGGTCCTTCGCCGCTCAGGTAAACATTTTTGGCTAGATTTAAAAGCGCAGCATCATCAAGCTTCCTGTATAATCTAGTTATGTGCCTTGGTCTGCTCCTGTCTGTTTTCCATATGACATTACTAAGAGAGTTTGCCTTTCGAATCTCTTGTATCGTAATTGCGATTGTAGCTCGGTGGCGACTCACAGTTAGTAGGCGAACATTTTTGATTCACGCACATGCAAGCCTCTTGGGATGGAACGATCGCATTTGTGCTTAGGACTGTGCTAGAAAGACTGACAAGGTGACTGGGATCAAGGCCACATGGCAGTCGACTCAGATTTTTTATACCTGATGAATG